ATAAAATAAATTCATGAAACGAAACTTTTATCTTCTAATAAACTATATTATCAATTTAAAGAGTTAAAAATTATATACATACATATATATATATTATAAATAATACTTTAATTAGAAGGAATTTTGGACCCTAAGACTGTAAAAATTATACTTATCCCCAATTTTAGAAATGTCAAAAATCACCGCAAATGTTGGCAGGCGGTATTTCTAATTCTGCCCAAAATTCTACCCTAATTCTGGTAGGGCGTCAATCACCAGCGATGATATTTAATATTCCGATTTATTAAAACTGTCCGGTTCTTTAATTAATAAAAAAATTAAAAATTACTAACTTAGCCCCTATAAGAAATTTTATCCGTTATTTCTGTAAAAACTCCATAAAAATGAGCCTTTCACGGAACCACATTCACGGATAATGTAAATAATTCGATAAATTCCGGGATATAAGCTTGTTTTAATATTATTCGGGACAAAGCAAAATTTCACGTTTGTTTATTTACATAACGATAATAGTTAAAATAGTTTAACGTAACTCGTTGATATAATTCATTGATTCATAATTTCATATTTATTTTCCAAATATATATATTGTATACTGTATATATAAATGCCTTAAAGTCCTAATATTTGTCCGATATGTTTTAGTTTGTATAACTTGTGCAAAAAATGGATATATAAAATATAAGAAAGCAATAGATTATGATGGTTTAACTGAAGCTAATGTACCTACTATACTTAAAGTTCCTGAGAGTTTAGCTAACATATGCAAAAGCTGCATCAACAAAATATGAAATCAAAACGATAGTTATATCAGAAGGAGAAATCGATGTAGATGATCAAGAAATCCCTATAAAAAATTTTCTCCGTTATTTCTGTAAAAACTCCGTGAAAATGAGCCCACGGATCCATTCACGGAAAATGCAAATAATTCGATAAATTCCGTGATATAAAGTTATTAATTCCGGAAATATGAGCCTTTTACGGAAAAAAGATGGAATAAAAAAAAAACGGATTGACTTTTTTTACAGGGTAATGAATAATCCTATTCCAAAATTCATATCTAAGGACGAAAATCCAAAGAAAGGTTAGTGTAACTTGATTCACGTGACAACTGACAATCCGACATACTGAACCGGATAATGGGTTCAAAATTTTACTTTATCCCGAATAATATGAAAACAGCTATAATCCCGGAAATATGAGCCTTTTACGGAAAAAAGACGGAATATAAAAATCGGGATCGACAGGGTATAATATATTTAAAAAAGAATAGTTAATTAAAATATTACAATAAAATTCTAAAATTAGGCTATCTAATAAAATAAATAAACGATCATAGCTAATTACTCGTTATTTTCAAAAAATTATATGAAGATAATCACGGCTACTTGTAGAAACCCACAGCCACGCCCTCTAGGAATTCTACTTATTATTATTGGTCTTCGATCATCACCATGGCCACCACGGTTATCATCATCCTGGTGCCGAAGCACACTATCACGAAAAAATGTAACTTTGAGTTGGGTAGTTTTTCATATAGAGACTGGATCCGTTAGGTTATCCGCTCAATCCAGATAAACGGATAATTTTATTTGAATTATCCGGCCCTGTAAAAAAAGTCCATCAGTTTTTTTATATTCCAATCTTTTTTCCGTAAAAGGCTCATATTCCGGAATGAATAGCCTTATATCACGGAATTTATCAAATTATTTATATTTTCCGTGAATGAATCCGTGAAAGGCACATTTTTACGGAGTTTTACAGAAATAACTGATAAATTTTTTATAGGGCGGATAAACGAATAATTTTATCCGGATTATCAAGATTATCCGGATAATTTCCGGATATCTATGACCTTTCGGTTAGATTATCCTATCAGGGAAATGATTGTCGGGAATGTAATTTCGGTGAGATTATTTATATCATAACTGATAATTTTTTTAGTAAAATTCGTGCAAATATATATTGGTATGTAATTATGTAATTATATGATGTTAAATTTTTAAGTTTATTATTATTAAATCATAAACATTTACCAAAAAAAAAAAAAAAAGTTTATTGTCGGTTGTGCCGATTAAGGAAGATTACTATTCCACTTACAGTAGTCATTAGTCATTTTGTAATGAAAAAAATTATGTATTACCTTATATTCTCTAATTTTGTAAAATTTTTCAAACTTTTCAAAATATAACCAATAACGTTAATTTAAAAATAATAAAAATTAGAATTATTGAAACAAATAGGTTGAACCAATAATTATTTGCATTATTTTAAAACTTTTTAGAAGGGGTCAAATAAAAAAAAAAAAATCTTTTTTTAAAAATCCCAGTATATAAAGTCACGTGCAACAAAATTTATGATTATTATTATTTTTTTTCTATTAGCCTTATTTTCCGTCCATTTATAGTTTCTCACAAATACTATACCAATGGATATACTAGATTACTAATCGTAAAATTATTTTGTAAAAATTTTGACAAATTCTAAATAATGAATATATATAATATTAAATATTTTGATTGGCTAGATTTTTGATCACGTGAATATGTTATTTGCGGGTAGGGGAAATGTAAAACGGATAATTTAATTGGCTCAACTTTATGATGTGAAGAGTGCGATTCATTTAGAATGATTAAAGGATGGACCAGTAGAAATAAATGATATCGATAAATTAATTTATCAAGGATACACAATTTATGATGCAAATAAATATTCTGCAAATTTATTAAATCATGGGTTACCATTTGGTAGATTTAAAGATGTAAAACAAATAAAGTATAGGTGATGTGCAAGATGGCAGAATATTGATTTTGTTTTATTGAAATTTCATGAGCGACAAAAATAAAGAATTCATGATTTTACAGATAATGGAAATTTGATGAAAAATTCATTTTAATTTAATCAAATTTAGTTGATTGGTCGATCAAACGTTGAATGCTCCTCATTTTAAATAATTAATATTTTGCGAAAGTAACACAAAATTAAATAGCATTGAATGAATACTAAAAATAATATTTAATTTTATATTAAATGGTAACACTGAATTTGAATATTATTCAATTTCGGATTTGTGAATGTTTGGATTTTACAATTTGTGGAATATGATAGTCGGGTTCTGATCAGGGACATCGTTTATCTGGGACTGAATAATTTCAGGTTTTTACAATACTAATTGACGTATAGGAAATAACATAGAAATAAAAAATGTAATGTATGGTGGCACGTTCTCCTGACAGATCTAATTATTCAGTAATTGATCAACAAGTTGATCTCATGATCTTTTAAAATATTTTTAAATAATTTTTACCCCATAGTTCCATGGGAATTTTCAGTTGTAAACCGGTCCTCAGGATTTACAGGAGTGAAATTAATTAAGATCAATTATGGGAAAAATCAAACTTTATAAATATCCTTTTTGAATACAAGTTTTCTATGTTTTCTTAATCGCGAACATAATTGGTTAGATTAAAATAAGCTAACATTAAATTCAGTTTTTGTGTTAAATGAATAATGATTTCTTCTATTTATGACTTTATTTATAATATGACGAAAAGAAGAAAATATTTAGAATAGTGACAAAAATGTCACATTCTATTTCTATTTACTAAAACATATATAACTATTGATACAACCATTTTTGATGATACATCCCTACATTCCCTATTACCTAACCACCCTAACCACCTTACATAATCCTAACCGCCCAACCGTCCAACCGCCTTGAATTTTTTTTTAAAAAATAGTTCAACAAAAATTGGTATGAAACTTTTAAGAATGATTAGCTGTAACAAGTACGAAACAAGTTTAATAATTGTTTCAGACCTAAGAAAAAAATTATTTATTAGTAAATAAACCAGAATTATCAATTTGAGATTGTAATAAAATTTTTAAAGGTTCTTTCGCGTCAAATAGTGAGAATATGATAAGGGTAGTGACATACAGTATATGGGTATAATATGGATAAGTGAGCAATCAGTTATAGGTTTTGTTTAGCTCGTTAAGTGTAAGTGATTGATTGATTGAGCAACAAGAAAGATGTTAATTACCGATGACTATCGTAAACAAAAATCGTTGTTGATTTACTGATTATCGCGTTATTACTTAAATATTCTTATTTTTATTATTATCAAAAGATGAGATCATTTTTTTTATTTTTTTTTTGTAATGTGTATAACGATTGTAATGTATAATTGTTAACAACCTATTGTTTTCAGTGAACTGATTGCCATCTTTAACGCCATCTTTACTTCAATTTCAAGTCCCTTGTTTCACAGTAAAGGTACAGCACGCACGCATCGTTAACAGGATGTGTGATTCGTACAGTTTAAAGTTGCACGAGAGTCAATATGTACTAAAATATCTTCTGTATTAATAATTTTTTAACTAAAAATTATTTAAGAAAATTTTTACCCACGTCTTTTTCAGTTGAAATTGAAACTTTTAATGAAACACATTAAAAATGCAAAAAAAAAGGTGATCTGTTACAATAAAACTGATGAACAGCAACTTAATTGAGTTAATATGTTGATCCGGAAATCGGCCATTTTAGTTCCGGATATTACCAAATTATACTTTTTTGTCGATCCCTTCAAATTTAATGTATCATATGAATGTCAATACATATTATTTAATCCTTTCCAATTCTTTTTTCTTATAACAAATAAAAATTCAAGTTCTAATTAGAGATAAAACAAACCTACGGGACAATAAAATGCCCATTTAAATAGACAGACATTAAAGGTTAAATCCAATAAATAAACAATCATACGCCTGTAAATGATAATAAATTATTACTAAAATACATCAATATCTCAATTCTAGTTAGTTGATCAACGATTTAATTAGGAACGGAAATTATAGAAAGTGGATTGGTTAATTAAATGGATCAAAATTTATATATATATTCCCAATTTCGCGTCAAAAAAAAAAATAAAAATAAAAATAAAAAAATAGAAAAAATAAAAATATACTTTAATACTTGATTATATACCACAAACACAATGCTTCTAAAATTAATATTTAATAATTTGAGAATTGATAATTACCTTTCCTTGATAGGTACCTTGTTAATTACATATGTGGTACACTTTTATTATAAATATTTTACTCGCGTCAACCCTTTACCTGGTCCTTTTCCACTCCCATTCGTTGGAAATTTGCTTCCATTAGTATGGCATGGTGGAAGTCTCAAAAAGTATTTAGATATAAATCATAAAAAATATGGTGATATAATCGATGTTTATTTACCACTACGAAGTATAAGTCTAGGACGAGCAGAATATCTTGAACCATTTTTAGTCCCTTCAACAAAAAACTTAAAAATTATGAGAACTCCTCGTGCCGATGTCTTTGATGATTTAGGAATAACCGGAAAAGGAATAGTGGTGAATCAACATTACAAACCATGGAGATATAATCGTCAATTTTTTACACAAGCTTTTTTAGCTCCAAAATTTAATCAAAGAGCTATTGAATGGACAAATATATTATTTAATGAATTGGAAAATTATTGGGACAAATTATATCTTAAAGAAGAAATTATCAAAGAGAATAAAAATGTATTGGACTTCTTTTCATGGTTTAATCAATTTACAAATGATATGATTATTGAATTAATAACTGGTGAAAGATCTTATTCAATGGCAGGACTTTTTAATAATCTCAGTGAAGAAAAAGCCGAACATCCGTTAGCAATTGTTGAAGATTCCGTAAAATTAGTTAGTGCACTTCGTAAATATAATACGAGGCTTCCATGGTTTGAATTGGTTCCTCCTATCTTACGACATTACGTTCCATATTTTAAAAGTATATCAGATGATTCAATTCAAAATGTAAAATATATTACAAAAAGACTGAATTCAATTATTAAAAGACGAAGAAAAGAAATTGAAAATACACCATTAGATAAACCTTTACCCAGTGATATGTTAACATCGGTGATTACAGCGAGTACACCTCGTGATTTTAATAGAGAAAAAACCATTGGTGGTGAACTTCTGAAACCCATGACTAATGAAGACATTAGTTTTATTATGATTGACGGATTTCTTGCTGGAACTGATACAGTAAATATATTTATAATTTTTTTTTTCTTATCACTTTAAACTTGGAAATCATTTTAACATTTATTCTTTTAAAATATAGACCGCGAACATGATTTCATTCATTACCTATTATCTTGCACATAATCCAGATGTGAAAATGAAAATGTATGAAGAAATTGATAGAAGATTTCAAGGTGATATAACGAGATGGGTTACTGAAGATGATCTTCGTAGCTTAAAATACTGTGAAGCGATTATAAAAGAAGTTGCTCGCGTTTTCCCAATTTTTCATGCATTCGGAAGAGTTATTGATAAACCTGAAGAAGTAGCAGGATATCAATGGCCAGCTGGTAGCTATTTTCGAATTAATGCTGATGCCGTTCATGGAAATAAAAATCATTGGAAAGATGCCGATAAATTTAACCCTGATAGATGGATGGATGAAGAATTTGAACCAGAGAAATATTCTTTCATAATGTTTGGTGGAGGACCAAGATTATGCCCAGGAAGAAAGTTAGCAATGATAGAATTGGTTGGTTTGATGGCTTTAATATTTAGAAAATATGAAATAGATTTAGTAGATATAGAATCTCCTTTAAAAACTACATCTCTCGGCATGAGCGTATTACATGGATTATCAGTTAAAGTTAAACTAAGAATTTAACGTATTCGTCTATTATTATTATTCTTTTGACAAAGTTAAACTAGTATTTTTGTGTACTATTACTTTTTGATAAAATATACATAACATCATTTCACGTGATTGAACTTTATTTTCTTTGAGTAATATTATTATTTTCTGATTTTGTCTAAAAGATATTATCTATTACATTTATCTCGTAAAATAATATATAATATTTGCATATAACGTTGAACGTTACATCGTGATTTGTGATAGCGAAGGTGACTGAACTAGAAAAATTTGGGTTAACCCCGTTTTTGTCTCTGTCACAATCGACAATTTTATTTCCTTTTTTTGAATATATATCACGATTTATGTAACACTACCTATTTGGCCCCTGAAATATGCCAAATAAAAACGCCGTTGTACATTTTCAAATGAAAAAAACGTGTAATTATTAATCAGTGTTAATCAATAAAATGGGAATAATTATTATATGGTATCTGATATAGTACCGAAAAACAAATATTTATTATACGAAGTTTGTATTGCGCCTCAAGAGCACAAAATTTAAATTTATATGATAGCATAAATAGAATAACGAAGATTTTGATATTTTCTAATACTTGTCGATATGAAGACATGAATTAATTTTGCAATAAATAATAGAAAAACATTACAGCTAAGGAATGTTGTCGAGATAAAAGTTATAGTAAAATAATGTTTATTTACAAATATATAATTAGAGGGTGTCAGATATCGATCAGTTTTTTTTAAATATTTTTTTTTTTCGAAAAAATTATTTAATAAATCTAGCAAATTTAAAATTTTTAAATTAAAATTATTATTTTCCTAATAATTTTCAAACAAGTTTTGCGCTTACTATATTCAAGATTTTCCTGAGTTAATATGCAGTGTTTATTCGCTTTTAACGCTTTTTGGCCCCAAGTTCTATTAAATCTGAAGAATTACAACATTTACTTTTTAAGTGATTGTACTTTTCTTTTGGGTATTTTGGTCTATTAAAATAATTAACATAATTAAAAATGTTTTACCGCATTATTGAAACATCAATTTACCTTCAAATTTTAAAATTTTAGATATTTGATATTATGATTAATATAAATTCTTTCTATCGAATCATTTCTAAAAGCTTTGTAAAGAAAATGAACGTAATTACTTGGGTTAGATCTGCAATATTTAGAAACTTGTATTATATTTATTATTAAAAATTATCAATAGACTATTTAATTAAACTTTATAGTTTTATATAATATGAAACCTGACCATAATAAAAATAACAAAACTAGTCTGTGTGGTTGACGGGAAATAATTTTAAATTTTCTTATGGTACAATCAAAAAAAAATACAGTAAATTTGTAGAAGTTGCAAGGTTATCACAGGATGTACAAATATATGCACTCTGAAGTAAAAGTATTAATTAATGAAGAACTCAAATTTCTAATTATTACTATCACTATTGTATTCTGTTAGAATAGTTTCCAAACATCTGATAAACTACACATTACTATATTAAATATTTTTTTACACATGATTGGGATGAACGGATTGTTATGGTGGAATAAATTTCATAAATATATCAATTAATATCATACATATATATTTATATGTATATATCTATGTAAAATGAATTCTGAATACATATGATTATTATGATTGTACATTTTTATTTTCTACCTATTTCATCGGTATTCACCCATTTTACTGACATCACATCAAGATTTTTTAAGGGGAGTTGATAATCCTTCATCTTTCTTTGAATAAGTAAAAAACAAAGGTTGTCGATCATGTCAGCGTGGCGTAATTAGGGGTTTCTCTAATAAATAGCAAATTTAAGACACGAGTAGAGCATGTGGTGATGATCAACCAGAAAATTTTGATATTTTGGGTATGTGATCGTCAGATGACACCATTTTAGTCGGTTCTTCGAAATCGGTTCGAAGTTCAGAACGGTTATATGGTTAAAAGTAGTTTAAGCTCAAGAGATCCGGAATCTTTTTAAATTTAAGATCAGTTTCAGAATCTACTCGAGTCGACTCACTTTGAACCGATGATGTAATTAAGGTGTCAAGACTGTCAAGTCCACATGGTTTTAATGGTTTTAATGCTGATCATTTCTATTCATAAATATATAATACTAGCTACTCTTTTTATCCGTTTTTTATGAATATCTTTTGTTATTAATTTATTTTATAAGTATTATTTTTAAAATATAATAAGATAAGAGCCTTAATGTTTATTAAATATATATGAGAGTAGCTGTTGGTGTCGTCTAAGAGAAGATTAATGTATTATAAACAATGAGATAAATTTAATAAAAATCATCTAATTTAAAAATTTTTCTAGAAAAGATTTCTTTATGTTATTTAGTATAAAAACAATAAAATAAACAAAATGGAATAAATAATTTTTCGGTGAAATGTCCATTCAGCAAAATGTTCATTCGGCAAAATGTCAGCGAAAATGGAATTCGGTGAAATGGGTTTCGGGAAAATTGGATTTCGGCGAAAAGTCCCGATACCATTATAGCATTCTATAATTATAAGTATTAAAATAATAATACGTTTTAAAATGAGTAGTAATGTTTAGGCCAGTTATCTGAATGTCAAAGAATGATATCAGTTTACAATGTATTAAAATATAACTACTGTATATTGAGAATTATATCATATACTGTATAATATTCTGTACGAATAAGTGAATCAGTTTTTTTTATCCACACACATCATATTATAATAAATTAACTTTCACTCATTCAATTCTTAGTATGACAAATGCCTAATAACAATTTTTTTCATACAAAACAAGGTCGCCACTGCCAAATAATTGTCCGCAATAAACGTGATTAAATATAGCACCTTTACTCGACTTAAAATATGACTATATTAAAAAAAAAAGAGAACAAAACTATCTTTAGTATTGTCAAGCAATGATTAGTATGAATAGTATTGGATCTCATGAGATGAAAATCTCATCCTAAGATCTACGAAACTTTTAATTGGAATTCATACAAATATATTAAATATATTCATTTTATCGATCATCAATCCATTCAGCATGTTAGAATGTAATTATTATTCTTGAACCAATACTTTTTGGACTTTTGTATAAATATACATATTTGAATGTTTAAAATGATGAGCGTTGTAACCGCAAGGTAGGGAGTTTATTAAGGAGAGAAAATTTTTAAAAAAAAGTACCGCATACATGAAGTATTTTTGATAATCCGTTTTCCTCGTTCAACAAATTCTTTCTAAATTTATTTTTTGTGTCACCTTCAAATCATCATCCTCTTAAGATATTACTTATTCTATTAAAATACTCTTCATATTTTTTCTCTTTCTCCATCTATAAGTTGTTCCATAAAGTTACAACTACTTTCTCGTGTTACTTCATTTTCATTATCAGCTGGAATATTTGGATTTTCTTTTAGTTTTTGTGGTTTATTTTATTTTTTTTTTTATTATTTTGAACGATTTACTAACTGTTCCTTTCTTTTTTTTTTTTATAGGTTCGGGTGGGCTTCCGAAGAACGGGAAAAGGAGAACCTTTAAGATTATATCTTTCGAATCTTAGATTTTTTTTTAATGTTATTGAACGGTTGCTGAATCCCAATTCTTTAATAAATATCACGTGATTTTCTCCGTGACGTCAGCCGTCTAATTTGCTAAAAATAGTGCAGTCATTTTTCTTTCTTTTTTTAATTTTTATAATTTTTATGAATTTAATAAAAGCCACCTTCTTCGATGTATATTGCATAAATTTTATTTCCTTCTCTTTAACGACAAATCTATTCTGTGGAATAATATTTTTGATAGTTCTCCATCTATCTCTATTGCTACGTGCTTTTAATTTGTAGAGTTGCCTTGATACCAACGTATTTGACATGTTCTGATGTCCGTGCTGAACATTTCTCTCAAGAAATCAGCTTTGACTGTTTGATAATTGAACAATCCTGTTAATCAAAATTCTTTTTACAATCCCTAGAGTTTGCAAATTCTTTATCACATCACTTTCGCTCCAACGCGATAAAAGAAAATTTCACGTTAGTCTTTAACGATCTTGTGTCCTCATAAATTATCGACATTATTATTCCTTCGGTCCTTTTTTTTTGTTCTTTATGCTTGAGTAAAATTTCCTTATTTTTTTTAATTCTACTTTGTTCTTTTGCTGCGATTGCCATGCCAATTTCGAAGGTCAGAATTTTGTTTTTCTATCGTTAACGTATCTCTTGATTTAATATACCATAGTTACCATACGCTGTCTTGAAATACACAAATCTCATGTGTTTTTGAAAAAAAATTGACGGGATAGTTGCTATAGGACATTTTTACCTCATTAAGTTACACTTACAATTTCTCAAATTTTTCAATCTGTTTGAGAAATATTGGGGTAATTTATATTGGTTGGGCTGCAGCTGCTTTCTTGGCCATGAAATTATCTAATCGTGATAAACAAAAAATGATGAAATTCAATATTAATCGATTTGTTTAATTATTTAAAAATTTATTATTTATTGTTTTTTGAAAAAAAAAGAGCAGAATTAGAAATTTTTTTTTTTAATGTATTTTATATTACTTTAAAAAGAAAAAAAATCATTTATTTATTTAGATGATTAACTTTTATCGGTTAGTAATAAAATTTTTGTAAAGTAGATTTTTAATTAAAGGAAAAAAATTTGATTTATGATCTTACAAATTACTTTGATGGTATTAATTAATAAACTTATAAAAATCTATTGATTATTTCAATCTGGAAGTAAAATTACGATTTTTATCTTTAGTTACATCAATATCCGCTTACAATCTCCATCCAAAAACGATGGTAGTTTGGTTGGAGTCTACATCAATTATTCAATTTTGTTCTATCATATACTAATAAATTCGTACAACCACTTTCCGTTGTACTTACTAGCTTATGTTTATAGTTTTATTCTAACACCACTAAAGGATTACATGAATAACAGTATGTTGTTTAAAAGTGAAAAGGTTTATATTAAAAAAGGAGAGGCTAAAATTAGATCGGTAAAATTGATGATCGCTTGAAAACTAATCTTTATGTTAACGTTAAAGTTTACGTTAACATTTCATACCAGAAGTACCGGAATGAGCCGAGGAAAACTTTCGTGTTAGGTCAAGTGATTTATTGCCTAAAGTAATCTAAAAATAAAATGAAAAAATATATTAGAAGACTCGAGTACTCTAAGTAAGCTTTGTAGAAAAGACAGATTCAAGCCCCCATGCCTATTATCAACCGACATTAACGATATATCGTGAGTGATCAAACTCGTGCAGAGGTACTGTCATATTGATAATAAGACATGAGACCCACCACCAAAGGGAAGGGCCCCACATACAGAAGTCTGCGACATAGCTTGAGATATTGTTTTTCTATTATTTTCTCATTAAGGTAACCAAACTTCTAGAAGAGGAGGATAACCGAAGCACTCTAGGTGCACAAATCCCTTATACATCCCAGCTTAGTCATTTCCACTTACCATTGATAGAAATCTTCCAAGGTTTTTTTACAGAAAGGAATAAGAACAACCTTATATATATTAAATAAATAAAATATAAGTTTGAAAAAGTTATGATAAATATTACGAATATTGAAAAAAATTAAAATATTATATTAAAAGAAATAATATTTAAAGACTATAGTAAATATTAAAACTTTTGAAAGTCTAATATGAGGAGACTTGCCGCTCCTATGTTAAGAGAGATAAGAGAGATGAGAGATGATACGTTTAGAGAAAAAAGGGCGATTTTATAAATAATTTCTCGTGGGAAAATAAAATCATATACATTGTGAGTCAGTATGATGTAAGATTTGTAAGCTTGTTTACGCGCCATATTTATTACGCGCGTATGTTTGATCACGTTGGTCAATATTAGTACTCACCGAATACTTTTTTTTCAACAGTACATACTAAATTTCTTTATTAAGCACTTTTCGTTAGCGGGTTGTCATAGTGCTTATATATAATTAGCTTTATCAAGAACGGTTATATTATATACCAACAATGTTCGATGCTAAGCATCACATAATAAAGTATACATACAGAATAACTGAAAATTTTGCTAGTTTAAAATAAAAATAAAACTAAATAAAATTGCTTAGCGTGAACTCTATTTGTTCATACTCTTCTTATTTTTCTTGTTCTTATTACCACCTTTAACTACAGTAAATTAACTTTATTTTGTAAAATTACCTTTTTTTATCACTTTCCGATTTATCACTCTCCACTTCATCTTCTTTATTAATTTGTCTAGTATGCCCTACATTTTCTTCTGCCTCATCCTTTTTAGTTTTTTGCAATGGTAGACGCGAAGAGCAAACCGAATTAACCGTATGAAATTCTTCGAATTCTACCTTCATCATTCCATTCTTGATACGTACGTCTTCTAACTTCTTTTCTTCTTCAATAAGTTCCACTCATTTCTCTTTAACTATCTTTCTCCTTAATAATATCTACCACCTTCAGGGTAGTATAATCCTTGACGTCAGTCAAATTTTTGGTATTTCTTCGAAGTCTATATTTATTTATGGTATCGACGACCTCTTCTACCCAAGTGATGTCCCTTTTCTTTATCATTTTCATATCAATCTTTTGCTTTGTCCTTCAAAACCTCTTCATTCAACAAAACATTATTACTTGGAAGTTCAAAATATAAGTTGGATCTGTTCCAATGAATTATTGTTGAAACTTTTTTTCTTTTGTGAAATGATCTAAGCTTCTTTCAAACCTTCAAATTTTAAACTTCGTTCAATCGCATTACCTATCTCCTCATTTGATGCGTAAAAAAAATCTTTTTCCTTTAGCTTTGCAAAGAACCATTCAAAATTCGAGTATAATTCCTTTAATTCCTTTTCTGATAGATTCTAATTTTCATCCTTGATTTCTTTATAGGCCACATATTTGTACCTTACAGTCTTTCACGGATTTCGGATAATTTCGTAATGGGTGGCTTCACTTGTGATGTGCTGGGATCTCAAAAATTCACCTATAACCAGATTTCAGATATCTTCTGGTGTTTCCTTCTCATCTCCCGACTCCAGAAGTTCATTACAATCGTTGACCTTCAAGCCAAAGAGCGCATTCATCTCTGAAGTTCTTTGGGCGCAACGTTATCGAAAAAAGGCTTTTGGTTCCCTTAATAACGTCCCCTTGTTGGTATCAATATCAACCGGAAAAGCATTTTCATAAGTGTTTTCACCTACGATCAAACAACTGAGAGTGATAGTTGAACATAGCGCGACTTTTGGCTCGGACAAAAAAATGGTGTTACGTTCCGGAGTGATACCGATATGAAATAAAAAAAATTTACTTCTGGAAAAAGCAAGCGTTAAATATGAATTTACGTCGCACAGATAGGTCGGGTGATCTTCGACATTGCGTGACTTTTAACAAGGAAGACATGCATTGAAATAAAAAAAGCAACAACTGATACAAAAATAAATATGCGAATATATTGTTGTTACATGATACAAACAAATATAGATAAAAAAACTAACTACTCATTAGAGTGATTTAGGAACGAAAACTTTTCGAAAAATACTGAAATAGGTAGTAGGAGATAATCATATAGAACAGTCATTTCTTTTTTGGACAATTTTCGATAATGTTGGCTAGAATCTTATTTCCTGTTTTAGTAACTGACTGACACTATCATAATTCCGACCCTGAAAAAATGTGCAGTCAATTGTAAATTTTTTTTTGGCTGGACCTACCTATTTTGATATTCTTTTTTGTAAGTCCAGAATATGATACCTGTCAAGTGTCAATATTTTTGAAAATATTATTAAAAATGCTCATGTTATAAAATAAAATATGTTCTCAAACTCTTATCTAATGTAATAAAGACTCCATTTTCCACTTTTTCTACCACTTTTATTATGAAGCATGTAACGTTTTCTTTACAACTCTTTCATTTTTTTCTTCATAAAAATTTTGGTCGAGGGATCGATAGAAGATAGTTTTTGAATTTTGATACGTACTAATTTCTTTGGTTCCGGTTTACTACTTTACCAAATTATAAAATCTTATCACGTACGTTACTCTTTTGGTATGATTTTTTATATGGATGTACTTTATCCACAAATTCATTTGAGTAAAATTATAGAATTTGATTAAAGAAATAAATTATTGTAAAGTAATATTTTAAAGTATTAAAATCATCTTTTGAATAACTTGAATGATCTGAAGAAAGTCCAGGATTTTGAGCAATACCTCATTTTGAGTACAAGTTCCCAAACTTTAATAACACTCATTATAAATTATCATGCTGAATAAGAGAAATCAAACGATTTCTGAATGTGAAATAAAATCGATTAAGCACGAAAATATATATATATATTTTTTTAAAAAAAAGTTCGGCATAATCTGCTATTTAAATTCCCTTACCCCAAGAACATTTAAAAAATTCCAGGCAAAATATATGGTAATTTAATATGTACAAAAATCTCATTATTTTTCTTTTTACTGTTACGCAGTAAAATGTTGCGCAGCAATCATGTGATATAACTGGACCCGTGATGCCGATCAATGTAGCAAATGTCGAATATGTTTGACATGTTCGATATNAGCTCGTAGCGAAAAAATATTTGTTTAGATATTAATGAATCTAGGTTTTAGGTTAAAAATTCTAAACTTCATAAATTTTGTTTTATGAAATGTTTATCTGAAAACATAAATGGTTTCTTCCTTTGTTTTAATTAAATTTTTTTTTTCGATCTCTCAATTTTAATAACCGCACCAAATTATTACTTAAATTCTGTCTCTTATACACATCTAGATGTGTATAAGAGACAGCCTAAATTCAAAATATGGAACGTGTGTGAAGAATTTAATTAATAAAATGTTTACCCTTTAGTATACACCTTAATTTTAAGTTTGGTTTTATATGGTTAATCTGCCTTCCCTTATTTGTGTCTGATTGTATGCGCCAGTGTGAAGCGATACTCTATTCACATCTGATTGGATTGATTTTAACATATACGTTGATCCTTAAAATTACCTTCTGCTTTATTAAATATAAACATTTTTTAATGTATAGCTTATTTTTAAGCACATAAGAACTGGTCTATAACATTACTAATGATAGTTGTCGTAAATGAAGAGAATGATAATATAACACTAATTACGTTGTAAGAGAAGCCGTTGCTATTTTAGAATTTTATTTTTATTTGTCATAAAAAGTTATAAACAACTGTACCAATTCAGAGTAAATTTTAATAATATTAATTAAATAACATTGTACTATACTGGTTCTATCCCAAAATTTTTTGATATTGATTTAATATACAGTACAATGTAAAACAAGCTGTGGTGGTGGTAAGGATCCTAGTTAATATACTAAATAATAAGTAAAATCTAGTATTAAAAAGTTATTTGCCTCTAAACTCATAGTAGGTTCAAACAAATTAGATCTAATTAATCAAATTTTAAAGTGATCAAAATTTATTATGTGCTGTCACAACTCACAAGTATTTAATAAGTGTCATGGAACAATATGCTTAAAATTTTTAATTGTTAATTTATTCAAAAATAATGATGATACAGTAAATACAAGTATAAATAAATATGTAAAGCTAAATACAATTTAGATTCATTCAACAAATAATATATAAATCGCTGGCTATTCAAGAAGCAAAAAAAAATTACATTTTAAATTAAAGTATAAAGAAATTCCAAAATTAAACAGTAAACTAGGAACGCAATTTAATTATATCACGTGACAATCGTGACATCACTGACATGTGGTCGATAAAAAATTAAAAATGCGGGATAGAAGTAAACGGTCCTACGCTACGCATCGGACAATAAAGAAAAAATTCCTGAAAAATAACAGCAACTATATTTATTGGATAACTTTTTTCTTTGTTTCATAACTTACTAATTCATTTATTAAATCCTCTGAATTTTCGTCAATAGCGATAGTATCTATATCGAATATTGCGTAAGAATAGGACAATGTTGTCTTTAAGATTTATTATTTTTACCTAAAAATAGAAAAATACACTAAGTATATTAAGTTTGAATAAATATAAAGTCAATTATTCAAACCAAAAATTTACCATCTTCATTTAAAAAATTATATTTCAATGATTCTATTTAATAATTAAATTATGTTAGTATTTTTAAAATCTAAATAATTTTTAAATGATGATTTATCTATCATTTAATACCTGAAAATTTCATGCTTATTATATTATCATTTTGTTCATAATAATCGTCAGAATTTTTTGGCTCTGGGAGATTATTAAAATTGAGTAATTTACTTGTGTAAACGGCTTTTGAATGCATTTTATATGATGAGCTAGCTAAGGATATATTAATAGTTGGACCATCATTAATTTCTTTAATTTGTTTTTGTATCTCCGTTGGATTTAACTTAAATTCCCACAATTTATCTCTAATTTCAATTGCTATTGGTCGATTTGATGAACTTGCGTCTAAGCATCTTTTGATTAATTGTATAATTAATTGAGGTACTTTAATATTAAACCTTGGTCTAAGTCCTTGACAAATTTTCATTGCTAAATTGTTATCATGGCTTAAATCATGATATGGAGGTATTCCAGAAATAACTTCATACATAACTATACCGAAACTATAAATATCGGCAGCTTTAGTATAACTTTGCCCTCTCAAGATTTCAGGAGCAATATAAGGCAAAACACCATATATATAATTTTTTGTATTCTCTGGTATATTGTAATCTGCAGGTTTACATATCAGTAATGAGTATAGTTTCGTAATTTTTTAGTATATTGCCAATATGCAAATCTCGATGAATTAATTCATTTTTATGAATATTTTCAAGTCCAGACGCGATACAGCATAAATAATTAATCTTATTTTTCCAATTTAAATCATTATAATATGTATTTAAATAATTTCGTAAACTTCCATCCTCTGCATAATCTAAAACCATCATATAATCTTTTGTTTCTGGATCTTGAGTTATTCCATAAGCTTAATAATATAATAATTATCATCTAATTTATTATGTAGTGCAATCTACACAGAATATATATGCAATATATTAAAAAATCAAATTCTGATATTTCTGTAATTCTCATTAAATGAAAATTATACTATACCTCATTTACAAATACTGATGTAACATTTTTTGAATTATTCAAACTTTTCAGTGCCACAAACATATTTTGATCTTTTCTTTTCCAATTTTGATTATTATTATCCCATTTGTTTAAACATCCATCAATCCAATTTGCTCTATATACTTTGCCAAACCCACCTTTCGCAATATATTTAATATCAAAAAATTTATTATAGGGTATCCACTCTAATGCTTTTTGTAAATTATGAAATTTATGATGAGCTGATAACTGAGTATCTTGAATAAATTTATCAATGTCATTATTACCACTATTCCAATTTTTGAAATTTTGTTGAAAATGTATTGCATTACATACAATATTACATTTTCTACATTCCTCATTCAAAACCATCATATAATCTTTTGTTTTTGGTTCCTGAGTTATCCCATAGACTTTATAGTAATTTTTGGCCTATAAATATAATTTGTTAATAAAAAGTTAAAAGTTTACAAAAATTCATTAAATAAAATTTTATTTTACCTCAATAATAAATTCCAATGCAATATTTATTGGATTATCTAATCTTTTCAGTTGTACCATCATATTTTGACCTCTTTCCCAATTCTGATCATTATCATTCCAATTAATTATATTTCCATCAATCCAATTTGCAATATATCTGCTTCTTGCAATATATTTAATATCATTTAATTTATCATAAGGTATCCATTCTAACACTTCATTTAAATCATAAATATTATGAACTGATAACTAAGTATCTTGAATAAATTTGTCAATATCATTATTACCACTAGTCCAATTATCAAAATTTTGTTGAAAATGTTTTGCGTTGCATATAAAATTACATAATTTACATGTTTCATTCAAAACCATCATATAATCTTTTGTTTCTGGATCCTGAGTTATTCCATAAAATACATAATGTATTTTAACCTATAAATATATCATTAGCAAAAAAGCAAAAAATCAAAAATTTATCATAAACTTATTTTATTATAAATTAATCCACCTTACCTCACCCATAAATTCTGATGTAATATTTTTCAGATTATTTAGTTTTCTAAGTTCTACATTTATATTTTGGGCTTTTCTTATCCAATTTTGATTATAACTATTCCAATACTGTATATTTCCATCAATCCAATTTGCTTCATACATGTTTTCTGCAATATGATATTTAATATTATAAAATCGATTATAAGGTATCCATTCCAATGCATTTTTTACATCTATATGAGATGATAGCTGAGTATTTTGGATAAATTTATCAATATTATTATTACCACTCGTCCAAAATTTGAAATTTTGTTGAAAATGCATTACATTACATATAAAGTTACATAATTTACATTTATCACTCTAAACCATTATATAATTTTTAGTCTTTGGATCCTGAGTTACACCATATGCTTTATTAATCTATATATATGTATACAGTATATTAGCAAAAAATTATAAATTTATTAAAATTTTAATAAAAAAAAGAAAATTGCTAAAGCTCACTGGCGGTGATGGTCACCGTACCAGCATTATGATGTACTTTCGACCAGAATTAAAAATCTAATAAAATACTGGCCAGCATTACATCATAATTTCACCACCGGTGACCATCACCACTAGTGATGTTTAGCAATACCCTAAAAAAAAAAAAAGAAAATAATATACCTCGTCTTTAAATTCTAAAACAATATTTTTTGAATCATTTATTTGTTTCAGTTTCACAATTATATTTTGCCCTTCTCTTTTCCAATTTTGATTGTTCCAACTAATCATATTTCCATCAATCCAATTTGCTACACGATTATTTTCTGACATATACTCATTAATATTATATAATCTATTATAAGAAATCCATTCCAATGCATTTTTCACTTTTTCATGAGCTGACAACTGAGTATCTTGAATAAATTTATCAATATCATTATTACCACTAGTCCAATTTTTGAAATTTTGTTGAAAATGTATTGCATTACATACAATATTACATTTTTTACATCTCTCATTCAAAACCATCATATAATCTTTTGTTTCTGGATCATGAGTTATTCCATAAAATACATAATCTATTTTAATCTATAAATATAATATATTAGTAAAAATTAAAAATTTATCATAAACTTATTTGAATATAAAACAAATCTATTATACCTCATCCATAAATTCTAATGTAATAGCTTTTGGGTTATTTAATTTTTTCAGTTTTACAATCATTTTTTGATCTCTTCTTATCCAAATTTGATTTTTTCTATCCCAACACAATATATTTCCATCAATCCAATTTGCTACATAACAGTTTTCTTCAATATGCTTAATATTATATAATTTATTATAAGGTATCCATTCTAATGCTTTTTTAACGTCTCTATGAGCTGATAGCTGAGTATCTTGAATAAATTTATCAATATAATTATTATCACTAGTCCAACTTTTGAAATTTTGTTGAAACCGTTTTGTGCAACATTTATAATTGCATGTTTTACATATTTTTTCATCAGGGTTAATATGTGATGAGTTAGTTATCTTCCTAATACCATCAATAAAAGAACTCATTTGAGAATTTTATTTAAACTACAAATGAATTCAGGTTGATCGAATAAAAGGCGCGATTTTATGTTTATTTGGGTTATTTATTACCAAGATGGCGCTAACCAAATATTTATGTATAATTACGTATTCTGTAATTGTGCTACTGTAAACGCCCGAGCAATATATAAATGGGGTATCAAAAGATCGGCACTCATTTATTATTGGCTCTACTCCTCTTCAGGGCTAAAATTACACAATGCCGCCTGGTATTATCCAAAAAGGAAGGATCTACATGTTATTCTAACACTTGTACGTACAGTTTAGTTTAGTTTATTTTATTTTATGGATAGCAAGGAGGAATACAATGAAAATCACAAAACTATTCTAACGAATATCACTGGAAAACATTTACCCACTACAAAAAACTGAAATCCTCTGAAGAAAAAAGAAAGAAAAAAACTATCTAAAACTCCGACCAAGCCTAGATATTAATGACATATAAAAGATCGATGAAGGACAATAATACTAGAGTGATACAGAAAGTTGTGAAGTCCGGTATTTATTTATTTATTTTATATTTTTTGTTATGAATTAGGGTAGGGTTATGAATTAGGGTGATGAGTGGAGTACGGTCCCTATGTGATAGTTTACTCAAGTGATAAATAACACGACGGGCCAAACACGTGATTCAGAGTGGGCTGAGATACTATTCATCACTTGAGTACGCTTCACACCCCTTATGTTACACACCGCCAAATGTCACCGTACTCCACTTCCATTGTTTCCAGATCATGGACCTATGTTTCCAAACGGTGGTCTTGATGATAGTCTGCGAAATATGCATGAATCCATTAACGCTCGTTGCACCACTGTTAGTACTAAATGAACTCAAAACATCCCAAATAAACTATGGGTTATGTAAGATGTATAAGGAGTATCGACTCATTTGAAGGAGGTAGGTCTTTATAAGTCCAACTAAATGTGTCAGCATATTCGATTGAGTCCGTAATACATGAAGAGAGTTTATCAGCGTCACGTTGAATAATCTTATTAGCTTCAATCGCAAGTTGTAAGAAGACGAGGTAAAATTACAGGACATCTCCAGATGTGATGATTAGTTTCCATTTCAGAGTTGCATGGCAGACAATCGGTTCTATTCTTGATGATGTCAGGAAAGTTACGATTAAGTATACCTAATGTCGGCAAAGTAATGGTTGATGTTTTAATTTTCCAAGCAACATCTTTCGAATGAGCGTCACTAGTAGCAGATCCATGTGCATTGTGGTTTAGCCATTTAGTAGTTAAGGCCCAATTGATCATGTGTTGTTTGGTAAAAGTTTGGATATCCGCCAACTCTTTATGGTTCAAATGATTATTATAGTTGATTATTTTGCCTAGGCACTTACGTACATCTTTATCGAGAGGTACTTTGTCATTCCAAAGGAGAGTGACCACTTGCGTTGGTATATGATTGTATATTATCGATGTCAGCACTTGTACCGTTGTACGTACAGGTCGTACAGTACATACTAATGATGATAATCATACAATGATGCATGTGGCATGTGATCTACAAGCTCTTAAATTTAGTTAATTATATTTCCTTTTTTTTTATCTTTATTTAATTTATTCTTCTTAAAAAGTTTTTTAAAATCAAGCCTCCTATCTGAGGGAACGCATATCAGGGTCAAGTTAGATGAACCTATCTCAGTCCTCGGCAATAAACTTACGGAAAGTTTCGTACAGGGGATATAAGATGGGACCCAAACATTCGTGTAATCAAAAAAATGATTCTCTCACCCGAACAGCCTCCCACGTATCTTCTTAACGGACCACATATATGTTAATTGAATAATTATGCAAGAAGATCTTATTTTTTATGAACAAAATTGAATTCTAATAATGACGAAGGATAAGGAAATTATTGAATGGTTAAATGGTCTTATCATGCATTTGTGAACATTAATATAAGGTTAATACAATAATTAAATTTGTTTAATTAAATTAAAAACACAAAAATTATTATGAATAAAGGAAAAGAGACTATAGAACCAGAATTTAATAAATTAAATGATTTGTTAAACATTAAACACGAAATTGTTTTTATTGTAAGAAACCATATGCATATACCGAAAAATTATGGTGTTCCTTGTTGCATATTAGAAGGATGGACTAGTGGAAATGATGATATTGATAAATTTATTAAAAATACAATTTATGATGTAAGAAATAGTGTAAGTGTTAATTATAAATTAATTGAATGGGTACAATTTGATAGATTTGAAGATATCAAACAAATTGGTGAAGGTGGATTCACTAAAGTATATTCTGCAACATGGATAGATGATAAAACATATTATGAGGAACAGAATGATGGAAGATGAAAAAAAAAAATCCTAAACCTATCAAAGTTGCTTTAAAAAATTAAATAATTCACAGAATATGACAACAGAATATTTAAATGAGGTATTGTATGTTTTTTTTAACGTTTGATATATTTTTTCTAAGAAGCAGTTCTTTTTTTTAAAAAAAATTATTATGAATTATAGCTTAAACCCATTGGAAATTCAGTAAATCATACATGATTTCATTACAATTATACGGAATGACTAAAGACCCGAAAACTCAAGAATTTATGATGATTGTACAATTTGCAGATCAAGGAAATTTGAGAAATATTCTTTCAAATAATTTCAACAATATTCTATGGAAAGATAAGATTACTTATTTATTCGAATTACAATGGACCTAAGAAATTTACATGGTTTAGGTCTTTAGGATATTTACATAAAGATCTTCATAGTGGTAATTCTAAAGTCAATAATTGTTATATTTCAGATTTTGGATTATCTAGACCGTCAAACGAACAAATATCGAATAACAAAATATGTGGAGTATTGCCATATATTGCTCCAGAAGTTTTAAATGGAGAACCTTATACATTATCTTCTGACATTTATAGTGTTGGTGTAATTATGGCTGAATTATCATCTGGAAAACCACCTTTTTATAAAGGAAAGCATAATGCTGACTTAGCATTAAAAAGATGTAATGGACTTAGACCAGAATTTGGAAAAGGAACTCCTGAAATTTATAAGAATTTAGCTTATAAATGTATGAACGTTAATCCGAACCAAAGACAAACAGCCAATGAATTATTTGAAATATTTAAATTTTGGTGTAATTGCAATGTGTATCAAGAAAAAGATAATTTTGATTATAAAGGAAAAGAAATTAAGGCTATATTTGAAGAAGCTGATAAAGAAATATCAAATATTTCCACTTCATACAAGAAAGATCCTGATGCTATATATACTAGCAAATAATAATTTCAGCAATGAAGAAAATTATAAAGGTATTGTATTCAATTTATTTTATTTTTTTTTTTAAACAAACTTTCAGTTTCTAATTTTGTTGCTTTTATGAATTATAAAGACTCTCAATTATCTAAATTAAAGATTGAATGGTAAATAGAATTTACCACGCACAGAATGTTAAATATCGATTATAATATTATTGATTTTTTTGTTAAATATGAAAGTATGTTATTAGTAACAGATTAGTATTGAATCAGATATTTTATTATAACTTTATTATTTCTCCAAATATTTACATTCATATACCGTATGTGAGGTATTATTAGTATCTATGTTCTCAGTAAATAAAATGAAATTTGGCTACATTTAATTCATAATTGCGTAATCTTACATTGAGTAAATAATAAATCTCATTTTTTTCTATTCTTAAATTATCGTTACAAATGTGTCAATTAGTGTGAATTGAATATATAAATTTCAGCTTGTATTTTACATGTCGATCAACATAACAATTGACGTAACTGTTAATCGTTACAAAATTTACCGATAATCAATATAAAAAAATTATACTACAATCTGTTGATCCGAGATTAAAAATCAAAGTGCCATTGTTGCTAACGCTGTATAACTGTTTTTAATCGAGTTACACTACAATGTTATTAACAAAGAAGTCTCAAATTTAGCCAGTTTTAAGTTCTAGCCTTTTTTTAAATTTTTCACACGTATACTTTTTACTAATTCACTTGGAAACAATTATCGTTACAAAATTTTCGATGATCATTTTACGCCTCACATTTGACATCTACCCAATATGGTAAATCCTTGTTTTTAATTTTGATCTGCCAATGTTAGTTTCGCTAGATAAATTCTTCGTTTATCATTACACTTTTAATTTTTTATTTACGATACTAACATTAATAAGTTACAAGAAAAAAAACTTTTACAAGCTCGAAAGATTATTCCGTAAAATTTTTGATACTAACAATTTGAGGTTAAGAAGGTTAAGACAAATTTTCTAACATGTGATTTCCTACATTTTATATAATAAATAAACCAAATATTATGCAAGAACATCCGACTTTCCGAAATTTTCCGAGAAGGTTTCTTTCTTATTTGAGGAAAAACATTACCACATTACTATAACAGATAAGTTTATTAAATAAAAAAAAATTTTTAACTATTATTTTTTATATATTCTATTATAAAATGCATGATAAAATTGGATTTTTTGAATTTTGGGACTACTTTTTTTTTAAAAAAAATAAATATGGTTTGTTTATTGCATAAATTAAAAAAGTAAATCGTTCCCAATATTTGATGTGATCTGAATAATTGGAGACTATATTTATGATGCATCTCAGGTTGAAAATCTGCGAAAAAAAATTTTTTTTTTAGATGATAGGCTTGTCAATTCAAAAAAAATTTCTTTTGCATTGTTACAACTTACAATATCAATTGTTTGTATTGTTCCCATTGTTTACATACAGTATAAAAAATCAAGACTTCTTGTTTTAGTCGTTTCATTCCTTCCTTTTTTTTTTTTAAAAAAAAAGAAATTACTGTAATAAGAAAATAAACGAAATTTTTTTTTCAATCATTAGTCATGGCTAAAAAAAAGGGAACAAAATCTGGTTCCAATAATAATGGCACACAAAATACCGGCAATAGTAGTGGTGGTGGCGGTAAAAGAAATAGAAATGCAGGACCTCGTTTAAGTCAAAGACGTGATCATAATCGTCCAGAAGCCATACCAGCACTAAGACTTACCGTTTCTCAAATAAAGAAATCGCAACAAGAAACCACCATTATGAATTTTAGTTCTTCCGAATTAACTTATAATGGTAGTGATCGATTAGTTTTTATTACTGATGGTGAACCGATTAAAACTATTTGGAAAAGAATATTGGAAAAAAATAAATCCTTGAATCAAAAAGATATTAAAATGTTTGTTTGTTCTGCATTAGTGGCATTAGATTATAAGACAGGTTATGAAGTGGAAGAAATTGTAACTGAATTAGGTGACCCTGATAGTGGTGTCAAGAAATTAAAAGAAATTATTAATTTTCCTTCAATGTCATGTGATGCGGGCCTTGATAATGGGGTGTTATCTTTTCAGCATGTTGTGTTACCTTTATTGGGTTTATTTACTAGAACGGCTATCACTGAATGTATTTTGGAAAAATATGTTCTTGCAATATTTATTGTCGTCTATGAAAACCTTGTAAGTATTATTGATGACGTTATTCTTTCTCCTCATTTAATTAATAATAATAATTTTATTTATAAAATAATTAGGACTCATTTCTCTATAATAAAGTAATGAAAATGTTGGAAACGTTGGTACAACGTAATAGTGTTCATGATTCTCGTGTCAGCGATGATGAATTATTGTCGCGTGAACCATATACTTTTATTCCGTCTTCGTAAGTACTATTTTTTTTTTTTTGACTCGTACGTTGTAAAAAGTTTCTCGTAATAAATTAATCATATATATTTAATAGTTTAGGAATATTTTTCTTAATAATTGTACGGCTTCTCACAGAATTATTACGTCGTATCAGCAATTCATCTATTAATGAAACAATGCATAATATTGCTAATGATTTATACAGATTAAAGACTAATTATCAAAAATCTATTGAACAAAATCAATTTTCTTCAAGAGATCCATTAACTAATAATTTGGAGAATAGAAAATTTTTTTTCATGATATTAGAAAAAGAGATGAAAATCATGATTAAGATGTTAAATAATGGACGTAATAATTTAATGTTTGATCAAAATCCTGAAGCTAAAGAATTAAATGCAAAATTAGATCAATTATATTATAAAGAATTAGCTAGAAGACTTGATAGGGAAAAAACTTATGATCCACCTGGTGAATTATCAAAATATGGTAAAAGGCATGATAATGATTTTGTAGAAATTTCAAAAATTTCAATTATTCCTACGAAAGAAGAAATATTATGTGAACGTCCACCTTTTTTACCTTCTTCACTTCGTTATGCATTACATTTTTTACCTGATGGACCGGCTAGATTACTTGATACACAATTTCGTCTCTTAAGGGAAGATTTATTAAATCCAATTCGTGGTGGTTTATCAAATTTTTTAGTTGCATTATTACAAGAACATACTTATTCTGATAATGACGTTAAATTGTCAAAAGAATTTAAGAAAATACAAGAAGAAGGTGGTAAATTTTCTTATAATGATGGTACGAATGAAAATGGTGATTTACAAGTATATACGAATGTACAATTTGTTAATATTACTTGTGATAGAAGAAAAGGTTATGCTTGTACTGTAAGTTTTACTCCTCCAAAAATCAGAGCAAAAGGTGTAAGAGCTAGAAGAGAATATTGGGAAAAGAATAAAAGATTATTAACTGGTAGTTTAGTTACTCTTATATTACCAAATCCAAATCCTCAAAGTCGTAGTTCTTCTATAAGTGATTCAGATTTATATTTATTTTATTTTGGAATAGTCATATATAGGAATGAGAGAATTTTATCGAGAGATGAAAATTTTGCGGAGGTTGATATTAATTTTATTGATCCATCAATTTATCCTATCGCGTTAAGCGAGATCTCAATATTTAATAAGACTAAAAAGATACCATTAAAGAATAGATTTATGGTGGAATCAACTGGTGTTTACTTAGAATCTTATTATCATATTCTTAAAACTCTTCAAACAACAAATCCTTCTTCTTTACCTTTTGAAAAATATTTGGCTCCTAATTTTAATGATTCGAATGTGAACAATGGTGAAGATATAAAAGGAAAAATGAGAGAAGATATAAGGGAAGAAATGATTAATACTCTTGATGTTAAAGTTGAAAATCCTATGTATACTAGAGCTCCAGGATTTCAATTTGATTTATCAGTTTTGTGTAAAAATAAGCATAAATTGAAATTAAATGTTGCAAAAGAGAGTAGCCACGATAGTGTTATAAAAGATATCGTTAAATATAGTAATATCGGCAAATTGCCAAATGGAACTCCTTATGGATTAGACGAAACTCAAGGTAAATTTTAACAAGTACTACTAGTGTCTACTATATCATTATATGAATTGAAAATTAACTTTTGTCTTTAATAGCTAAGGCGTTGGTATCTTCTCTAACACGTGAAGTTGCATTAGTTGAGGGTACGTATGACGTAAAGTAGGTTTTTTGATTTTTATATTTTATATTTTGAACGAGATTTAAAAGATACCTTATTTTATCATTATAGGACCACCAGGTACGGGTAAAACTGTAGTTGGTGTTCAATTAATGAAAGTATTATTGGCCAAAGAAAATCGTAAAACGAAAATTGGTCCAATTCTAGCCATTTGTTTTACTAATCACGCTCTTGATCAATTCTTGGAGGTAAAATTTAATTATTCATTATATATATTATAATTGTTCGAAAAAGAAATTTTTAACTTTAATTTTAACGTTTGTTTTTCAAATTTTTTTCGTTCGTTTTTCAAAAAAAATTTTTTTTTCTAGCATTTACTTGATGAAAATATAACGAAAATAGTAAGATTAGGTTCTCGATCAAAATCAGAAAAGATCAAAGATTATAGTTTGGATGAAATTTGTAAAAATCGTGCTCGTACAAGAAAAGAATCTCGTTTATTAGCAAGATTATATGAAGATATTGAATGGATAGAATATGATACTGAAGGAGTAAATTATTTTTTAACTAGAAAATGGATGAAATGGAATGAAGCAAAAGATTATTTAAATAAAAATCAAAAGGGATTTTTTAATAAATTCAATAATGTATCAAATCAAGATTTACCAAGTTGGGTTTTAAATACTAATGAAAAATCAGGATTTCAAACTTCTAAAAAAAATAAGAAAAATAAGAAACACCCATTTGAATTATGGATAAAAGGAGTAGATATCGCAACAATTAATAGAAGAAAAAAGCTTGTATTAAATCCACCAGATGTCAAAAATATAACGAGTACAAGTAGTAATGAATCACAAATTGATGAAAATACGATAAATTGGATTAAAAATTACAAAGAACCAAAAACAGATCGACCTTTGAACGTATTATTAAATGATTATTCAATTTGGAGAATGTCGGTAGTAGAAAGAAAAAAACTTCATGATCATTGGCGTGCAATAATTTATAAACAAACTGTCGAAAAGTTATCAAGATCACAAAAATATTATGAGACAAAATGTAAAGAAATAAATAATATTTATGATGAATCGCGTCGACAAGTATTATTAAATAGTGATGTTATCGGTATGACTACAAATGGCGCGGCTAAATTTCAAAATTTAATTAGATCAATTGGTCCCAAAATTATCGTTTGTGAAGAAGCAGGAGAAGTATTAGAGGCACATATTCTTAGTGCATTAACTCCATCGACCCAACAGTTGATATTAATTGGCGATCATAATCAACTTCGACCTCACATTGCAACTTATTCTCTTAGTATAGATTCATCAACAGGAAAGAATTATCAATTGGACAAATCATTATTTGAAAGATTAGTTTATGGTGATAAAGCAGCTAAAATTGAAAAGGCACAACTTTTAACTCAGAGACGTATGAGAAAAGAAGTTTCTGATTTAATTAGACATACACTTTATCCGGAGTTAATTGACGGTGATAATACTATACAATACGAGAATATACGTGGAGCTCAACACAACGTTTATTTTATTGATCATAGAAATCCAGAAAATAACTCAGGTGGAGAGTATGCAATAAAGTCTCATGTGAATAAATACGAAGTTAAAATGGTTGTCGAAATGGTAAAATATTTTGTTAGGAATGGATATACTAAACCTGATGACATAGCCGTACTTACACCTTATTTAGGGCAAATGATTAAAATTAGAGATGCTTTGGCTAAATCGTTTGTTGTTGTTATTGATGAAAGAGATGCACAGAATATTACCGAAATGGAAGAACAACAAAATGGAGCAATTAGTAATGTAAATGATGAAAGTAAAGGCGTTGCGTCAAAGAAATCCTTAAATCAACAAGTTACTTTAAGAACTGTCGATAATTTTCAAGGTGAAGAAGCAAACATTATTATTGTTTCTTTAGTTCGTAATTTCTCTAAATCACCAAGTGGGCATGATTCTATTGGATTTCTCAAAAGTACAAATAGAAGCAACGTATTATTGTCACGTGCTCGTAAAGGAATGTATCTCATTGGTAATTCTGAATTAATGTCGATGAAATCTAAAGATATGTGGGCTCCGGTAATTGATATTTTACATGAGCGTAATCAAGTTGGTTTTGGTATTCCAATTGTATGTGATAGACATCCAGATTATAAGAATATTATTGTCGAGCCTGATCAATTTGAAAAAGTTAGTCCAGATGGTGGATGCAATAAAACTTGTAACGCGCCACTTCCTTGCGGACACAAATGTAAATTTAGATGTCATGCAGATAATCCTGAACATATTGGAATCAAATGTGATGAACCTTGTTTAAAAATAAATTCGGAATGTAATCATCAGTGTCAAAAACGTTGCTTTGATAATTGTGAGGATTGTGAATTTCTTGTCGGAAATATTATATTACCTGGTTGTGGTCATGAATTAAAAAATGCTAAATGTTGGCAAGATCGAGCTAAAGATTCAATTAAATGTAAAACTTTAGTTCCAAAGAAATTACTACAATGTGAACATTATAGAAATATTTACGTGAGTATTTTTATTTATAAATACAATATTATATAATTTTGTCATTTATATTAACAATATTTTTATATGTATAGTGCTCTGAACCCGTTAGTACTGATTATAAATGTATAGAAAAATGCAAAGAAAAATTGGAATGTGGTCATGAATGTTTAAGCGAATGTACTAAATGTCAAAATCGATCTAAACAAGAAGGACCAAATATAACCGTCCCTATTGAACGAACACAACATGGAAAATGTCAAACTGTGTGTGATAAATTTTTATTTTGTGGACATAAATGTAAAAGTCATTGTCATGAAGGAAAAGAATGTCCACCATGTGAAGATAATTGTACAGTAATATGTGAGCATACATCATGTAATAAGCATTGTTTAGAACCTTGTGCTGTATGTACAGAAAAATGTTCATGGGAATGTGAACATCAAGGAAGATGTGAATTAAGTTGTGGAGTTTCTTGTTATAGATTACCTTGTAATGAAAGGTGTAATAAAATATTAGAATGTGGACATAATTGTGCCGGAGTTTGTGGTGAGATTTGTCCTTCAAAAGATTTTTGTGTCGATTGTGCTCCTGAAAATGTTTTAAATCAAGGTAAAATCAATTAAATTATCTCGAAAATTTTCAAATTTTTTTCATTATTTTAAAATATTTTTTCTTTTATGGTGTTAGATATCAATTCCAAAAGTACGTTTAGTGAAATAGATTGGAATGAAAAAAGAATGATTGTTCTTGCTTGTGGACATGTATATACTATGGAGACTATAGATAAGCTTATGGAAATGAAAGATTATTATGAAGGTTCAGTTGAAGTAGGATGGACATCAATTAAAATACTTCCAAATTTATCAATGAACGCAAAGACTTGTCCGACATGTAGAACTCCAGTTAAGAATGTCAAGAGATATGGTAGAATTATTAATAAATACATATTGGATATGCAGACCAAAAAATTCTTATTAAAATATGGCTGTCAATTAAAAGACATTATCATGCAAATTGATCCTCTTAAAGATGAAATGATCAATAGAAGAAATAAATTAAAAGATGCTTTACCCAAATCCGGATCAAGGCCAATTAAAGTTGTACTTGAAGAACATAAAGTTGTAAACAGAAACTTACCTGAAATTATACCTCATAAATATTTTGAGGAAATTGGAAAATATCATGGGTTTAACAGAAATAATAGGAAAGCTTGGGTTGCTCATGTTAGTGAATTATTAAATTGTTATCAGAAACTAACTTTAATTGCTGAAGCTACAAAATTTCCACCTCATAAAAAAGCCTTTGATGTTACTGTCTCAAGTTTGTAAGTATATTGCTAATGTATAATTTGTTTTTAAAGATTTCATTTTTCGTCTTATTTATTTTTATTAAAATTAATTTCTAGGTATCAAGCTAAATTAGAAAATGAAGAATCTTACGCTTCAGATTCTTCTCCTCCAGTTATGAATACTTTAAGTTCCATTTCTTCTGAAACTTTTCAAGAAACGCTTTCTCAAGTGGGAATTTCAATACCACAAGTTGATCGGAGAATTTATTTAGATGCATTTTTTGTAATTATATATATACAAAAAATTATACATAACGAAATTTTATTCATAATTCAAGAGGTGTTGAAAGAATCAACACCCACTGCTACGATTAACGAAAATACCTTAAGTATTAAAGAAATTTGGAAGAAATTTATTGAGAGATTACAAAGTTCTATTAAAAATCATTTGAATACGATAAGAGAAATAGCAGAATCTACTCTTTATAGTAGACATTTACTTTTGGTTAATATAGAAATATTAGAATTTGATCTTAAATTACTTATATATCAGCTAAGATTCTCTCCTAATGAAAGTACCAATGATGACGCTGGAGATCTTCAAGAAAGAATTACAGAAAAACGCGAGGATATTAAAAAACGGATTGAAAATATACTTGAAAGTCAGGGATATAAAGATTCTGAAGAGAAATTTAAGAATAATATTCACGCAAGACTAGTAAATTTATTGGAAAATTGTAATGAAATTGAGAATTGTGATTTAAATTTAAATAATACTTTAAGTATCGAAGAAATATTGGAAATTTATCAAGCTATAAAAACCGAATTTAAAAGTTCAAGTACGTATCGGATTTCACTTTATTTAAAAAGTTAATATTAATTAATAATTTACATTATCATTTTTTTTTATTTATTAGGACATTGGTATGAATGTCCAAATGGTCATCTGGTAAGTAATTAACAATACATGATTACGTATAATACTAGTATGTGTATATAACTTACATTTTAATTTTTTTTTAGTATACGATTGAAAAATGTGATGAAGTAACGCAAACGAATAAATGTCCCGATTGCAATGAGCAAATTTAGTGAAGGTCGTCTGTTAACTGAGTAGATTTAAGAATTTTGTTTATGTAGTAATCAATTTTTTCAATTCATTCATTTATTTATTTATACAGTGTTACTTTTTTTGATTTCATATTATATATACAGTATGTGAATTAAATAGCTTCTACTTATTTGTTGTTACTTTTATTCCTACTTTTTTTTTTTTAAAAAAAAAAAGTTCATATGATATGATAATATCTTGAAATAAAAACAATCGATAATGTGAATTAATTGATTAATAACGAAAGATTTAAATCATACAAATATCATGTAATTAAAAAGATATCAGTATAGAAAAGTGCGAATAAGTCCGAAATATTCCAATAATTACTTGATAGTGAACGAAAGTCGATAAAGCATTGAGATCATTGAAAATTCGATTTAAAAGTGGAAATGATCTTACCATGTATCAAAGCACTCCATTTTGTATCCTATAACTCCTCTTCATTTTCCCATCTCTCCTTTTCGTCTTTCATCACTCCATTTCATCTTCCCATCACTCCTCTTCATCTTCCCATCCCTCCTTTTTGTATCCCATCCCCTCTTCATTTTCACATCACTCCTTTTCGTCTTCCATCACTCCATTTCGTCTCCCATCACTCCTTTTTGTATCCCATCACTCCTCTTCATTTTCCTATCCCTCCTTTTCGTCTCCCATCACTCCTCTTCATATTCTCATCACTCCTCATCATCTTCTCATCACTCCTTTTCGTCTTCCATCACTCCTCTTTATCTACCATCATGTCCTATTTCTCCTTTTTGTTTCCTATCACTTCTCACTACTCTTTTTACTCCCTTTCATCTTTTATTAGTTTCCATTACTCCATTGTTATTTCATTTTTTTATTAGCATCTTTCTCCTTATCATTGTAATTTACTTATCTTTATTGTTAATTGTTTATCACCATTAAAAATACAGTGGTTTTTTTCTTTAAAATTGTAAATGTGTGACTTAAATTTTAATATTTGCAAATAAAATTTCATTAGAATAAATGTTTGCAAAAAAAATTTTTAAAAAAATATCTTTTGCGATACAATTTTAAGTTTAGCCGATCAAAAATTAGCTAAGTTGTTTAATAAATTTACTCTATATATCGTACATCATGTGACATATTTGAAAAAAAAACTCTGGCGACAATCGCCCAAATTTTTACTATTTTACTATTTTAACTTACAATAAACCGAAATCTACCATTTTTCTATACTTAATTTACTCATTATAAATAAAAAACAACATTTGTTTATTCTTTTATTTAAGAAAAAGATAGATTTAAAAAGTTTATTTATTTTAACGAAGCTTGTTTATAAAAGAGAGAATTGGTCATTTACAAAAACTTTCACTTAAAAGATCTTTTAAAAGTATGTCAAGCTCCCCCATGAAAATGACCTTGTTTATAACAATTTTTTTTTAAAAAAAAGGTTTCTTTAAACCGTTGTACTTTATAAGACATGGATATATTTAATAAGACAATTGTCTTATGGCAAATTCTTTTTTAAAAAATTGTTAAAAAAATAACTGGAAATAAATAAATGCAACTAAAATATATTTTTGTAGGGACGCTGCAAGTTATTTTATTAAAAATTTGCACTATGAAAATGAAATATACAGTGTACATGAAATTGCGAATTTTTACTAAAACAAATATATGAATAAACAAATAAAAAGATTTTCTCCATATGTTTTATTTTAAATAATTGGGAAATCGCTTTTTTTAATGTATATGTCATGTCGGGGAAATGTCTGTCGGGAAATGTTGTTGTCGGGATAATGTCATGTCGGGAAAAATAGCATGTCGGTATAATGTCCATTGGAGAATGTGTCATGTCAGTAAAATGTTCATTCAGGAATATGTCTTGTCGGTAATCGGTTGTCGGGAAGTTGTCCGACATTGCTTCAATATTAAATTTTGGCCTAAGTCCTTGGCAAATTATTGTCGCTAAATATGTATCATGGCTAATATCATGATAAGGAGGCAAACCACAAATTACTTCATACATAATCATACCAAAACTATAAATGTCTGCATCTTTAGTATAATTTTGCCCTCTTAAAATTTCGGGAGCAATATAGGGCAAAACACCATATATGTCATTTTTTGTGTTATCCCATATCAGTAATAAGAATATTTTTATTTTTCAATATATTACCATATTACCAATATGTAAATTTCGAGAATTAATTCATTTTTATGAATATTTTCAAGCCCAGATGCAATACAATATAAACAATTAATTTTACTTTCCCAATTTAATTCATTATAACTTACATTTAAATAATGTCGTAAACTTCCACTCTCTGCATAATCCAATACCATCATATAATCTTTTGTCTCTGGATCTTGAGTTATTCCATATAATCTAATATATACATCATCATCTACTCTATTATTATATAACGTAATCTATATACAATATATATCAATATATTAATAATATTATATTCATGAAATTTTTATAATAATTAATAAATGAAAATTAAATTATACCTCATTCATATATTCCAACGTAACATTTTTTGTATTATTTAAACTTTTCAATGCTACAGCCATATTTTGGACTTTTCTTCTCCAATCTTTATTTTTACTATTCCAATAAATCATATTTCCATCAATCCAATTTGCTTTATATACATTGCCAAACCTCCTTTTGCAATATATTTAATATCATTAAAATTATTATAAGGTATATATCCATTCTAATGCATTTTTTACATATTCATGAGATGACAGTTGAGTATCTTGAATGAACTTGTCAATATCATTATTACCACTGGTCCAATTTTTAAAATTTGGTTGAAAAAGTTTTGCAGCGCAATTAACATTACATTTTTTACATATCTCACTCACAACCATTAAATATGTTTTTGTTTTTCGATCCCAAGTTATTCCATAAAGGTCACTCATCTACGAATAATAAATGGTATTAATATAAATTAAGATTTTACAAAAAATTTCAAAAAAAAAATTAAACTTATTATACCTCATCCATAGCTTCTTGTTCGATACTTTTTGGATCATTTAATTTTTTCAGTTCCACAATCATATGTCGACCTTCTCTTTTCCAATTTTGATTTTCACTGTCCCAATCAATCATATTTCCATCAATCCAATTTGCGTAGTACCTGTCTTTTGTAATATCTTCAATATCATAAAATTTATAATAAGGTATCCATCCTAATGCTTTTTTCACATCTCCATGAGCTGATAATTGGGTATTTTTAATAAAATTATCAATAACGTCATTATTACTAGACCAATTTATAAAATTTTGTTGAAAACGTTTTGTATAACATGTATAATTGCATATTTCACATATTTCTTCGTCAGAGTTGAATAGTTTTTTAATACCATTAATAAGAGAATCCATTTAAGACTTTTTTAAAACTACAAATGAATTCAGATCAATCAGATAATTTCTACGTGAAGGTTGAAAAAATTATCGGAAATTGTAATTGCCCTACTTCGATACGTTAGTGCATTACTTGGCAGAAAATTTAATACTGCTTTTCGGGATACGGCACAATAAATATGCTCAATAATAACTATAATATCTAAATTTTATTTTGTACATTTTATATACTATATATACCATACATGCCTCAGCAGAAGTATTGAATAAAGAAATATTATGCACAGTATACTGTCTTCTGAATTTTGATATCATTTATTGACTGAGCTATCATCTGGAATATCAGCTTTTAATAAGAGATAGCATGATATTAAAGTTAAAATTAGAAATGTAATTCAGAATAAGGTTGCTATTCGTAAATAGTAATCATTTCTGGATGTGTAAGTTAGACTAGGTGTAAATTATACCAACGGTAACTTAGCACAGATCGTCAGATGTATGCCGAAATTCAGCCGAATTTTCACTGAATGTGATCGTCACCCTAAAACAATTTCTAAACTCTGGCTGAAATTATAATTTTCGACCAGAATTAACCGTGCGCTGATGTTTACCAATTACCACTGGTGAGCTTTAACAATGCTTACTCTATAAGACTTTTTTATTTTTAAAGTTCAAACAACGTCAAAGTTTTATAAATTTAATAAATATCTTGATTTATATATTTATTGAGAAAAAAGAAATTGATTTTATCCGGGTAATGCCCGGGTATACTTGTGTCATATCTGATGAAAAGATAAACGAGTATACTCGTATTGGAGCTGGATAACACTTTTTTGCTTTGGGTATGATCCGGATCCATAAACTATGGCGGGTCGCAGCTTTATGTCGCATCGCAGAATTAATTAATCAGTGGTTTACACAAACGATCTTCCCGATGTTCTCGATGTACAAAGTTACCAAATACCCAGTGACACATACTTCGCCATAGTTCATATAAATAATGTAACAATTTATTTTACAGAAAATGCCGTTTTTGAATTTAAAATTAATTGTATTTCATCATCCACATAATTTTTCTACTCCTTTTGTATATTTTTCAAGTTTGCAGAATTTTTCAAAAAGTAGAAATATTAGCAGTTGGTATACTATTATAATATTTATCTGGCGTACCATTTGTGTAACTTCCTTTTATCCTCATTTTTCATTGATAATAGAGTAACACTAATAATGTTGGGAATTTTCTTCAAAATATTGAATTATTTTATTCAGATATATTCAAGTATCCCTAATGTTCCATTTTATTCCTTTTGTTCTTATTGTTCCTATTGTAAAAAACCATTTGTTAGAAAGCTATGGTGTAAGAAATGTGACCCATTTAGGTTGATTGAAAGAGTAGCCAGCGGAAATAGTAATATTGACAAATTTATTAAAGATACAATTTATTGTGCAAGAAATGATGATTGTCCTGAATTACCTGAATGGATACCATTTGATAGGTTTATAAATATAAACCTAATTGGGGAGGGTGGATTTGCTAAAGTATATTCCGCAATATGGAATGATGGCGAAGCAAAATATTTTAAACTAGATGATGGGAACTGGAAAAGAAGAGAACCTGAACCTATAAAAGTTGCTCTAAAAAGGTTAAATGATTCACAGAATATGACGTCAGAATATTTAAATGAGGTACGTTTTGTAAATTAGGACCCGAAATATACATAAAAAGGTTAAAAAGGTCAGGTCAAAATGGGGCAAAATAATTATGCGTGTCTTGCCTTTTATGGATAATGCTGGTCAATATTTTACTACCCTTTATAGATACTGACTGGCATTATCTTAATTCCGGCCCTAAACTCCTGGGCCTAACCTCTATATATTCTGGGTCTTTTTAAATTCGGTACATACCGTAAATAAATATTATCAATTAATAATTTACCTAATTTTAATATGTATAATAGCTTATAATACATTGGCATTTCTGCGAGAGGTATGGGGGTTTGCAGTTTTATGGAATGACAAAAGATCCTGAAACTGAAGAATATATGATGGTTGTACAGTTTGCAGAAGGAAATTTAAGAAACTTCCTTTCAAATAATTTTAACAACCTTCTATGGAAAGATAAAATTAGGTATTTACAAGGGATGGCAGTAGATCTCAAATATCTTCATAAATTAGGATATTGTCATCAAGATTTACACAGTGGCAATATACTACAAATTTTTGACCAATCTTATATTTCAGACTTTGGATTGTCTAGACCATCAGATAAACAAAAATTAAACAATAAACTATGCGGAGTATTACCATATATTGCCCCAGAAGTTTTAAATGGAAGTACATATACATCAGCATCCGATATTTATAGTTTTGGAGTAATTATGACAGAATTATCATCTGGAAAACCACCATTCTATGACAAAAAACATGATTTAAGTCTGTTATTGGCTATATGTAATAAACTTAGACCAGAATTTGGAATAGGAACCCCTGAAATTTACAAGAATCTTGCTTGTAAATGTATGAATGCCGAGCCAAATCAAAGACCAACAGCCAGTGAATTAAATGATATATTAGAGTTTTGGTCCTTTTCTTTTAATATGTCTGAAGATAGTCAAGAAAAAGAAAATTTTGGTTACAAAGGAAAAGAAATAACAGCTACATTTGAAGAAGCGGATAAAGAAATACCCAACATTTCAACTTCATACAAGAAAGATCCTGACGCCATATATACTAGTAGAGTATTCTGTTTTACAAATCTCAATAATATCAGCAATGAAGAAAATTATAAAGGTAGTGTATTCAATTTTTAAAATTCTTTTTTTTTAAATAAATATTAGTAGTTGCTAATTTTATTGCTTTATAAATTATCAAAGATTCTCAATTATCTGGTCTAAGGATTGAACAATAGTATAATTTATAATGCATAATATGTTGGTTATCGATCATGATAATTTTTTTTTTGCTTTATTTCAATTTTTTATTTTTTACGCATCTTAAATATGTAATGGTGTAGTTAGCCGAAAAATAATTAGCCGCATCGTGATCCGGACCGGCTCAGGCGTAGTTCGTCGTGGAATTCCAGGCGATTAAACCGGATCCGGATGATCGGCAATCAGGAATCCGGCTCTGTTTTTCGGCTAACTACACCATTATCAATAAATAAATATAATTTTTCATTTTGTTTTAATATATCGATTAATTAAATTTTTTGCATTCATGTCATTATAATGAGTGTTGAGATCTTGAATTTTCAGGGTTATATTATAACGCGAGTCTGATCGTCGGAATTGAATGGTCCCGACTCAGTGATTTAAATTAAATTGGATTCGCGCAGTAGACGCAGTAGGCGCAGCGTACATTACTTTATTTCCCGCGTATTTCGTTTAAAATATTAGGCGGCATTTTTCCTATCATTATTTTAATCCTAATATATAACGATAAAGCGCATATGAAATTAGTAAAAAAAGAATCTATTTTCGAAGTTATTAATCCAAATTGACATCACATGTTCCAATTGTGGCGCAATGTAGAAAAACGTGGCAAAAATACTCTTGTACTTCGTCTTCGTATGAAAAAAATTTGTAATTATGAAATAATTTGAGAAAATTTTAAACAAATAAACAAGCAATGAATTAAAAATTATATGTAACACAAAATCAATCTTGCCATATTATTGCTTTAGTAAAAAAGAAAATTTTTCTTTTAAAGGGATGATTTAATTTACTCGCTAAACTGCAGTAATACTTTTAATAATAAATTAATTCACTATTGATGCAGATACAGAACCACAATATGCTAATAAACATGACGCGAAACCAGAAATAATATCACATAATCATAAACGTGATAATTACATATATATATATATAATGTTTTATTTTAAATTTAAATTCGGGTTGTACTTTCTACACCATTAAAAATTTTTTGAATTCCAATTATATAAAATGTGTTTAATTATACAATACTGTATATGACATAGGACATTCTTTTTATGTAATCAATTCCAATATTAATATAATAAATAAATCATAGATTCAAGCTCTCGTTAATAATACTAAATGCATTGCGACTCAAAATAATTATTGACATCATTTTCACATTATTAATTTAAAGTGGCTCTGCTTTCAATTGTAAATTTTAACATGGCGCAATGTAAAAAAACGTGGCAAAAATACTCTTGTTCGCCTTCTACAGTATATTCAGCCTTCGGAAAAATCATTAATTTGAGGTGTTTATTATAAGAAAATACTTTTATATAAGAACTAAGAGACAAAATATCCTTAAAATAAATTTACTAACAACGAATTTAATATATATTATATATTCAAACAAAAAACCACGAGAAAAAAAAATCTGGAATCATGCAATTGAAATATCTATTGTTGATTTTCGCCTTTACTATTGTTTCAGCAAGTAAATAGATAACCTCTTTATTTTATCATTTTTTCTCCTTTTTTATTAAATATCATTTAAAACAAAATCTTTTTAATAATAATATAAAAGGAGCTTCGGTTGTGAGACGGCAACTTGTTGCTTTTCCTGATTTTCCTGATAAGCGTGACGCAGACGCAGAATCGCAAAATTATTAGCGTGACGCAGGCCAGCCGCACAAGATTTAATAATTGACATAAAAAGGAGCTTTCAATAAATAAAATTTAACGAAAAATATAATGTAAAAATCCATATTTCTTAATTTTAAATGTTAGTAAAAGTTTGCTCGTATTTTTCATAATATCTACATTTGTTAGATCAGGTTGCGCCATGTTGTGTTGCAAATTCGTATATCAAAAATTTTTATCTATTAAAAATGAAATTCCTTTATTGCGCTTACTACTCACTTTTAAAATATATTCGCCTCCTTTGGCTTACTCTTCTAATCTATTTAAAACATCTATATAACTAATCACATTAAGATTATCCTCTGTATAAATAATTCAAATCGTGTAACATGAAAACGCGTGATATGTGATTTTCACAGTTCCGGTTAAATCATAGGTTTTAATAATAATCATTTTAGCTAGATGTTGAAGATATTGGAACAATACTAAACTTTAGAAATTTAGAAGTCATTGAAGTTAATGAGATAAAAGTTAATTATTACTCTTAAATAAAAAAGAAGTCAATTTTATCAATTTGATCAAAAATTTTTTTAAGGAAAAGATATAAATAAAAAACAGACAGGTTATTTTACAAGTCTCCTGACGAAACGAACTAGTACAGCTTTGACCATACATCCCAAAGAAGGAGATAAATTTAAATCATATTTTACTTTCCTTTCGTCCTACTAAATTATGTGATGGGTATATAAATAACTTCAGTTCGCAGCAACATTTTCTACCTTTGAATAGATTTTTTAGGTTGAATGTTATTATGCAATTTCAGTTGCTACAGTTTTAATCAATTTTAAAAAAATGTCTCAACACGATATGCTTAAAACTTTTAATTGTTAATTTATTTAAAAGTAATAATATAAATATATAATTATAAAATAATTAATACATGAGACCATTAAACATTTTAATGTTATTAACTACAAATAAAAAAAAATACGCTTCTAGTGTTAAATTAGAAAAGTAAAAAAAAAAATTTACCCCATTTTAAAATCAAAGGTTAGATAGTCTAACATTAAACTGAATTTTAAATTATAATGATAAGAAATAAAAGAAGAAATATTGAAAAATAATGCAGCAATTAAATTACTTTTGTTACTTTTTTTACCTGGACTCGTTATATTTGACTTGGAAAATAAAAATAACGTTAAATATGAAAACCGTAGTTATTATATAAGCCATTTTCATAAAGAAATATTAATTTACAAAGACTCTAACAAATCAAAGTATTATTAGTATATTTAAGAATTGATTTATCTGATAACAAATTATTAATTAATACCTGAAAATTTTTCACTTATTATATCACCATTTTGTTCATAATAATCGTCAGAATTTTTTGGCACTGAAAGGTTATTAAAACTAAGTAAACTACTACCAGTATAATTAGCTTTTGAATGCATTCTATATGACGAGCTAGTTAAAGATGTATTGTTATCATGAATTTCTTCAATTTGTTTTTGCAATTCTATTAATTCTACTGAATTTTCATGTGTATTGTTATCATGAATTTCTTTAATTTGTTTTTGCAGTTCTATTAATTCTACTGAATTTTCAAACTTGAATCCCCATAATTTATCTCTAACTTCAAATGCCGTTGGTCGATTTAGTAAATTTGCATCTAAACATCTTTTAATTAAATGCACAATGAATGGAGGTACTTTAATAGTTTTAAACCTTGGTCTAAGTCCTTGACAAATTTTCGCTGCTAAAAATTCATCATTAATTAAATCGTGATATGGAGATAATCCAGAAATAACTTCATACATGACTATCCCAAAACTGTAAATATCAGAAGCTTTAGTATAACTTTGTCCTCGTAAAATCTCAGGGGCTATATAAGGTAAAACGCCATATATATTATTTTTTGTATTTTCTAATGAATTGCAATTTGCAGGTTTACATAATCCCAAATCAGTAATAAGAATATTATCATAATTTTTTAATATATTTCCCATATGTAAATCACGATGAATTAATTCATTCCCATGAATATTTTCAAGTGCAGATGAAATACAATACAAATAATTAATCTTAGTTTCCCAATTTAATTCTCTATAATTTTTTTCCAAATAATCACGTAAACTTCCACTTTCTGCATAATCTAAGACCATCATGTAATTTCTTGTTTCGGGATCTTGAGTTATTCCATAAAATTTAATAATGTAATAATTGTCATTTACTTTTTTATGTGACATAGCCTATATTTAAAGTGTAAAATGTATTAATAAACTAAAATTCACAAATTATAAATTATTAATAACAAGTAAATAAATACCTCATTAATAAATTCTAATGTAACTCTTTCTGAATTATCCAAACTTTTCAGAGCTACAAGCATATTTTCATTATACCTTTTCCGATTTTGATGTTCATTATCCCAATCAGTCACATATCCATCAATCCAATTTGCCTTATACACTTTACCAAACCCACCCTTTGCAATATACTTAATATTATATAATCTATCATAAGGTATCCATTCTAATGCTTTTTTCACATCATCATGAACTGACAGCTGAGTATCTTGAATAAATTTGTTAATATCATTATTACCGCTAGTCCAATTTTTGAAATTTTGTTGAAAAAATATTGTATAACACATAGAATTACATAATTTACATTTTTCATTATAACCCAAAACCATCATATAAGTTTTTGTTTTTGAATCCTGAGTTATCCCATAAACTTTGTAATCTATAGTAAGCTATAAATATAATGTGTTAGCAAAAATCAAAAGTATATAAAACTTTTAATAAGAATGTATTTATTATACCTCATTTATAAATTCTGATGTGATGATTTTTGAATTTAAACTTCTCAGATTCACAAACATATTC